ATAGCAAAATTTGTCAGGAAGGGAGGCGAAAGAAGAGGATGGGGAAGAAAGAGAGGGAATCGGGACATTACCTCCGTCACCCATTGCTCTTCACTGGCTTCTTGCCACGTGGAATGACTGCAACTTCTCCGTACTTTGGACCGTTGTTGATGTCCAGGTCCTTCCACGGTGTGATCTATTCCGCTTTTGGTACTTTACCAGGTCGGTGCAAACGTGTCAGTCCGTCGACGTTGCTGTGTCTCTCCGTTTTTCGATGAACAATGTCACATTCATATTCTTGCAACCGCACCGCCCATCATCCGATCATGCCCGTGTAGTTGGTTAGCTTCTTCAGGGCCAACAAAGGTTCATGGTCGGTGACGAGCAGAAACTTCTGACCGTACAAATACGGGTGGAAGTGTTGGATACCCCACACTACCGCATAGCATTCTCCTTGTGGCGTGAAATCGTTTCGTCGCTCGTTTGGCACCGTCCGGGAAGCGTACTCAATGACATGCTCCTTCCCCTCGTTTCCCTTCTGCGCCAGAATGGCCGAAATAGCCTCCGGCTGTCAGTCGGTGATGAGAATAAACTGTCCAGAGGGGTCCGGCCGGATCAGAATCGGGGCCGTGACGAGAGCATCCTTCAGGGCCCTAAAGGCTTGGTCCCACTCGTCATCCCAATGAAGGGGCTGTTCTTTTCGCAGCAGGTTTGTCAGAGGCCTTGCTATAGCCGCGAACCCCTTAAAGAACCGCTGGTAGTACGAGGCCAGGCCCAAGAAGGCTCGGACCTGCTTCAATGAGGTCGGAACCGGGGCCTCCTTGACCGCTGCGACTTTTCGAGAGTCCGGCCACAGGCCTCCACGTGTCACCACATACCCCAAGAACGAGATTTCTAGGAGGAAAAACTCGCTCTTTTCCAGCGCAATCTTGAAACCTGTGTCTCTCAGCGCCCCCAACGTCCATTCGATGTGCTGCGTGTGTCCATGAAACGTGTCCGATTACACCAGAATGTCGTCCATGTACACAATGACACAAAAGTTGATCATCCCCTGAGTCAGCTGCGTCTTATTGACAAAATTCTGAAAAGTCACATTCATCGCCCGCTGAAACGTGGCAGGCGCATTGCAGATTCCCATCGGGCAACGAACCCACCGTCACGTGCCTTCAAACAAAACGAAGGCAGTCTTGGGCCGATCTTCTTCTTTCACCAAGATATGATGAAACCCATGCCGAATGCTGAACTTGCTGAAGTAGTTAGCACACCCGATCGCATCAAGTAGATCATCAATCCGAGGAAGGGGATACACATCTTTAATCATGATATCATTTAACTTTCGATAATCGATGCATATGCGGACTGACCCGTTCTTTTTAGGAACCAACACAACTGGGAACGACCAAGGACCGGTGGCAGGCTCAATCCATCCGTTTGCCTCAAATTCCCTAATTCGCTGCAAGACCGTCTTGCGCTCTGTCAACGAGTATCGGTACGGCTTGCAGTGGATCGGGGAATGATTTCCGTTTTGAATCTCATGCTGAACGACCATAGATAATCCAATATCGGCATTGGACACACTAATCGCCCCTTGATATTCTATTAAAATATCAGCGATCAACCAATAGATCTCATCAGGTACATACTGGGGCACATGCAATTCATACATTTGATCCAAAATCCGAACGTTAACCTGCTTTGTGTGCATACGCCGAGTAGTGTCAGGCGGTGCAGATATAAAAGAGTGATCCGATCTCCAAGAAAACACAGTGGCCATCATTTGTGCTTCCTCTTCCCTGATCGTTGTATGATTTTCGGGGGTTATCCCGTCACAGATGTCTCGCCAGCGCACATTTTTGGGTGAAATCTTGATCCCGAATTCATCGGATCTCGCCTCGTACGTTGAGGGGGTTCCAAAGAACCTGCTTCGGCTCCCAAATGCAACAACTGAACCTCTTTTGCGGGCTGAAGCAGGGATCGAGGTAAGCCAGTGAGATCGCAAAAGGAACGCTTGTTACTATACCGAAGGAGAAGGGGAGATACGCCTTCGTACAGGGTCCGAGGGGGTTCCAAGGAATCAACCAGCCTTGAAATTTGTACGAGGGGTTCTCCCATGATCAACATATGAGCATTCTGTGTGGTTAGATGCATGGTACGCGCAATAGTGCGAGGCGGCGGGTAGTGAATCCACTGCCGTAATAACCGTGTAACGACGGGATCGTCGTCGTCGTCGCTCCCCGCGTCGTTTGATGATTGGCTTCCGTCCACAGGTGCGCTCCAGGAGACCATGCGGAGTGCTCCCATTGTTTCCGGAGAAACTCGGGGTACTACCTTAACCGTCGTTCAAAGAGTTAGTCTCATAGGTAATACATACGGCTTTCCCCCGGTATTCCGGAGAATGACGGATCAGCGTTCGAAGTCCAAATTAGCACGCAACGCCACTAACGTAGGAAGCCCGAACAGGACGTCATACGTATTCACATCCAGCACCACAACATCTCCTAAAGCATGCACTTTTCCCAATCGCAACGCGACATTCGTCATACGCCCTACTGTCTTGATCTTCTCCTCGTCAGCCGATACGAGCTGGTCCTTCTCAGTTAGCGTAATCAAATCATTCTTCCTACCCGCTCTCTCGACTACTCAGAGGGATATCGCTAGGACAGTCGCTCCCGAATCTATGATCGCACTATACGGCACCCCCCAGACTTCAATATCACATTCGCCTGATTTCCACGGAATCGGCTGGATCCGAAGAAAGTGGTCGTCTTTCTGTATTAATCAGAATCGGATGGGATCAGGGGCGACATCCGCCTTTTTCTCCGAAGGCGGCACCTTCGCCTTCTGATCTTTTGCGCGTGCAAGGGCGAATCGCATCCGATTCGCTTAGCAATGTTGCATCATTCATTCGTTCGCCTGTTCCGAGATGGAGAGTAGGTGGCCGATTGGGAGAGGGATTCGATGATCCAGTGCTCGGGTGACTTCAAGGAAATTGATTTCTCCTGTAACAAAGGTAGGGCCTCCCGTCTTCATTTCGCTCGACGAAGGCCGCCATTCAGCGACATCTTTGGACTCGAGTTCCAGTCGAATTGTCCCAATCATTCCCAGCCCCAGGTATCCTAGTGATACGTACTGCTCCAGCGGGATAAGTTCAGCTGCTTCCTCACTGGAAATCATCATTCCCGTACTTCCCCCCTAATCATCCATTACGGCTCCTACACTTCTTGGACCGTTAGCTATGGGAGCTGCAGTTGCAGGCGCGATCCCCGCTCGAGGCTGCATGGCACGATGGGGGCAATCTCGGGCCAAGTATCCCGGTTGATGACATGTAAAACAGGCATTTGTCGCGGTCCCGGCTGGCCCCGCTGCCACTTGGGCAGCAGCCATGCCTCCCTGCATTGATGCTCACACCGCAATGGGTCGCATATTCCGCATCATAGCTTCTAATCGGGCGTTGTGCTCTCGTTGTTCCTTCTTGCTTTTCTGGATTAGACTAACCAATGTTTTAGTAAGCTCCAAGATAGCAGTAGACTCACCCGTTTTTGCGGGTGACTCGATGGTGGGTGGCGGTGGAAGTGGCCAAGTTACGGTTGGGGACGCCATTACCGGGATCTGCCTGTCTATAGTCGCTCCATGGGGTGCGGTCCTCGGTGTTACCTGTTCTACATACGTAACGGGTCCGGCTATGAATCCCATGTTTTCGAATTTGTTTTGTAGTGCGGCCAGTTCCGCCCTTGCTTTCACAAGTTCGGACGAGTCTCCTTCTCTACCGTAATCCTCATTTTCTAAGAAGCTAGCTGCGAATTTCCGCTCCATCTCTTCTGCAGCGTCCATAATTTGCTGCAGCGTGTGATTAATGGGAGAGAAGTTTTTACGTAGCTTCCCCCGAATCGTTCTGTTACGTAGTCCATCAATGAACAGGTCCCGGCCTACCTTCTCGCCCCGCTCAGTCTTTACAAACATTCGATGAAATCTGTTCTGATACTCGGTAATGGATTCGAGTGGTTTCTGGACTCGATCCTTGATCATAGAAAGTGTTTGTTCGGGGTGAACATAATCGAAGTGGTTCATGAAATCCAGCTCGAATGTGGGAAGATCCACCCATACATAGGTGCTATACCAATGATGTGCGTCTCCCCCCATCCACGCGGGGATGTTGATCTAAGCTTCATCGTTCCTATACCGCTGAGCTCGGAGCATGGCTAACCATGCTCCCACGAGATGGTGTGCTGCGTCAAATAAATAAAGATCCGGTGGAGCCGCAGGGGTTCGCGCAGGCGGGTTAGGCGGTTGATTGGGGATGGCCGCCTCAGCGGCTGCTGCAGCAGCGGCCGCAGCCATGGCGCCTGCTCGCCTTGTGGCGGATGTTCGGCTTCGTGTAGCTACAGGACTACATCGACGTATATTACCAGCTAGAGGGCGCCTACGTGGAGCCAGATCGCCTCGCCTTAGCCATTATTGAGTCTACAGACCCTCATCGCTTAGCCACGTGTCGGGCTCCGATACCAACCTCACGCCCGGCGCGACTTCCTGATCGGAGTGGGATGGGGGCCTGGAAGTGCGAAGAGGGGTGTGCCTAGGATTTTTGGGAAAGTGGGGTTGAAGTCCCAGGTTGGAACTGGGATCTTTTGTGGCCGAGTTCAAAGGTCGTGGGCACAATACTGCCGTGGGGCATGGCAAGCACGCAATTACCGCCTATCTCACCGCTTCGGGTTTGATGGGGACCACCGGGGTGCGAGGGACTGCCGCGCGTCCTGCCTGGGGACTCGAAAGGGGGTCGATTGTTGGCCACGCCACGGGTTATGGGCGCGCTGGTCAAAGCGAGGAGCACGCGGGTAGCGCCTAAGTAAACACTCTCTGCACGGTTAAGGCCAATACGCGGCTATGACCCGCCAGGGCACCACTGTGAGCTGGTGATATGGGAGGAGAACACGGAAGGGAGGGTAATTAGTGGCGACAACCA